GAACCGCGAGGAGGCGACCCGGCCAGAGGCTGCTGATGAAGGGATTCCTAGGCGCACCGCTGGTATGTGGGGGTCTGAGCGGCTCCGACAGAAAAAATATTGAAGGCAGGATGATAATCTGAATGAACTGACTGTACTGATTACGTTTTCAGGTGTATTTTCTCACTTAAAAACATATTAAAACTACTTTATTCCCACTGATCACAGCAAATATAGCTGCAAGGCAGAGAAAGGATAGTGAAGCTCCGCCCAACACGCGTCAGTCACACTTTTGCACCACGCAGCCAGAGCAAAGCTGCTTCAGCCGCGTCAGAACTAACTGGTACAAGCAGCAAAAATGAAGCAGCAGACGCGATTTTGCTGCTTTTGCTGCGTCCGATGTGAACGTAGCATAACTGCATAAAGATCGCCACTGTGCTAGCAACGAGCATGCTTTTAACTGGGGGCGTGTAGCAGTTCTCGCCGTAAAGCAAGACTGACTCTCACGAGACTTCTGAGCCTGTGGGTGCGGGTCGGTGCTCCTGCAATTGCAAGTGCAGTATTTCCCCCACAGACCACCAGGGCGGCCGAGAATACCTTTGTTCAACCTGAAATGACTCATTTAATCATCCAAAACGTTATGGAACACATTAATTAACTGAAAAATGTTGTATAGTGTGCCTTTAAAGATTCACCTCTGCCTTCCTGCCTCTGCCTTTGGGTCTACAACCCCCAACAAATCCTGACATCAACTTAGGTTTTAAAATGATTTATGGCAATTATAATTTGTTCAAGCCAATGTATATTGCAAATCCAAGAGCCAAAACAAACATTATTGGGAAAAATAATATTTTATTAACACTAGAAATCCCAGAGATACAAGAATTCAGCCTCCAGTCCCCCCAACAGTACTTCACATCTCATGAATCCCTTTTCAGATGTAAATGCCCCATTAGCGCTGTTGTTGGAGAACCATTCCACCCCCTTCAGTTTAGGCTTTAGCTCAAGTCTCTCTGTTGGAGAGTGTTTTACCTGAGAGCAGGAGGGGAAAAATTAAATATAACTAGGTCTATGTCATGACTGTTGCCAACATCGCAATGATTCAGCGTAGACACCAGTGCCGCAATCTGTTATGATTTCAGAATGTTGGACCCAGAATTCAAGGAGAGATAGTCAGTAGGAAAGTTCAAAATGTTTATTAAATAAAACAAAAACTAAAGTGGAGCTGTGGCTCGCGGACACTTCAGGAGGGGGGGGCGGGGCACCGCCCAATCTCAGACACTCTGTGGGAGAAACACAGGTAAGTGACCATGATCATCTGACTGAAGATGATAATCTAAGTGAGTCACTTACCTGGTTTAGCAGTTCAGTCCATACCCCTTGAGGGGGGTACGTCCCCGGTGCTGCAGCTCCGGAGGAGTTGCAGGAAGACCATCCAGGGCAGGGATACAGGGCAGACAGGAACAGACAGATCAGACGGGATCCAGGCTTCCAGGCAAAAACAAGCTCTCAGACAGGTTCAGAGTCTGACAGAGTTCAGAAGCGTGACTAGACGGTCATGCACAGGAGCAGACAGGATCAGGTGCAGATGAGCAGGCTCAGTGTAAAAGGGTAGCCGAGACAGGACATGGAACCAGAGCTTGATGCAGGACCTTTAAACTGGTCTCCTCCTTGGAGCCAGGCTTACTGGGATAAAAACTGAACCTCCCCACATATAGAGCCAAAAACCCAGAAGACTCAGCGGGGGAGGAACAGTGGATGATCAGGAGAAGAGACAAACACAAAACCTTCTTTCCACTGGCCGCCAGGATCCATGACATGAACCAAGGCAAAACTGAACAGACAGACTAACAGAAAACAAATAAGGATCTGGACTGAATGCTCAGGCTGAACAGAATATAACCCAGAGGAAACAGGTGAGAGGAATAAATTATAATTGAGGCAGGGAGGGAAAACGGCAGGTGAAAGAAATTAACAATTAAGGGAGAGCAAACAGGCCAGATCATGACACAATAAGACGATAACTAATTCTGTACAATGAAAATAGCTGCATGAGCTGGAACGCTGTAGAAAGCAACAATATTTATACAAGACTACACTATAGATCATTGTAGTGTCTCCAAACTTGTAGGACACACAGATAACGTCATCTAGTTCACACTACAAATGTGCTAAACTCTATTCTTTGAGATTTTTTCATTGGTATTATAAACAGGCCAGGTGTGCAATCTCTGCAACAGGAACCACAGCACTGAGCGTTGTGTGCACTGCACAAAGTGTACCTGTCACAAATGCAGGAAGGACTCACCTTGGGTTTGTAAAAACTGCTAAATGGGACAATTGTAGGTTCATATGTAGTGCTTTTCCTTGGGTGATATAAATGTTACTCCAATACTGAAGTCATACTGTTTGCCGTTTTCTAAGCTGAAATGTTGAATGACATGAAAAGGTGAGAACAGACAAAATACAAATATTCTCTAACTTGTTCAATGTTGCAACGGTTTCCATTTTCTATTTAGCTTTTGCGTGACCTTTGTTCAAAGTTGTTCCTAATCTGTTAATAAGGTGTTTCCAAACAGTTAATAAGGGATTGCTAAACTGTTTATAGACTGTAGCTAAGCCGTTTTTGACTAAACATGAGAAAAACATTGAAAGAGGAGATACAGCTTTCAACAGGAGAAACCCACATACTGACCTCTGCTGCTCAAAAAAGTGTTTCTTTACAGATTTTGTATAATTTTTAGGGTATAGAAAACATGCATGAAAAAAACAATGCATTGACATAACAAGATAAACTGAAAAACACACCTAACCCAAATTTCAGAAAGAAAATAACAAAAAGGAAAACACACATTTTTTTAAAACTCCTTATCAATTCATTGTAGAGACTGACACGGGAATGGATTTTCACTCCTGTCCCGTCCCACTCCCACAGAAAAAAATTGTGTCCCGTCCAGATCCCGGGCCAGAGTAGAAATCTAAATCCTGTCCCGTCCCATTCCTGGTGAAATTACTCCCACTCCCATCCCGCTCCCATTCAGAATGACTCCCGCACCACTCCCATGCTCTGTTCGAAAACCTAGGACGAGCCTTAGAAGGCCAGATTCGAAGTACGATTACGTCATAGTGCGGCGCCGAGGTCTGGTCGGATTCCAAGACTCCTCGTTATGCGGCCTTAAAATGCGTCCTTCTTTTAGCCCGATTTGAAGGACGGGTGTCGATGTATCCTCGGTATCCTTGGTTTACCCAGGATTCATTGCGAGACCAAGCAATCCGTGATTAGAGGAAAGGTTACTTGGCGCCGAACAGTGGTGAAAATTGGAAGTTTAGTTTAATATAATCCAGTCTGTGAATAGTTCCGTCTGAAATGAATGAAAATAGTTGTTTTAATGGTTATTGAGGCAGATATGTGGCGGTAATGTTTGATATATCTAAAGGTTTTTATCTGTTACTGTGTAAATGGGTTTGGCTGTAATTTAAGGACAGATTCTAATATATCTGCAGGGTGGGGACTATAAATCTGATAGGATTTTTATCTTTTTATTGCTGTTTTGCACAATAGGCTTAACTAAGATTTTTTTCTTGTTTAATATTAGAGATTTTGCAGATATGTTTTTAATACATACATTGTTTAGATTTAGTTATATCTTTCTACCCCTTTTATAGAATAGAATAGAAAATCCCTTTACTGTCCCACAATGGGCAAATTTAAAGCAGCAGAAAGATTATTGAAAATGGTCACACAAATGTGGACCTTAGAAAAATGTATAAGAATAACAAAATAGGGAAGAGTAAAAAAAAACAAAAAAACAATACAATTCTGTAAAGTGTTTTAACAATATAAAACTGGAGAATAAATAACCAATATGCAGCTATGGACATTTTTACAGTAATGGATATTTGAAAATAGCAGCAACATCAGAGATGTGCAGAATGACAGCAGCATGTTATTTAACTGACTAGGGTTTCTATCATTACATTTGATTTTATTTGTTCCTGCTCCCGGTGGTTGGAACCTTTATTCCACTCTGGATTCTCATCAGTCTTTGTTCACTTTACAATAAAAAAGAAATAAATAAACAAACAGTTTTGGAAACTTCGTTTTTCATTCTTTTCCTGCTTTGTGTGTCAACTTTCGCGGTTGCTAAGCAACAGACCTTACGGCGATAAAACCCCCCGAAGGGTAGACCTGGTCGAATTCAACAGCCAAAACTCTTCCGGTCTCCTTATTTTCATGGACTTCAAAGGATCCAGTCTAAGTAGACCGCGTCCTTGGAGGATGCAGCCCAGGATTTCAAATAGAGCCCAATTCTTGTTGATTTTGAGCGCGGGTGAAAAACTCAGAGCGGAATCACTGTTGGTTTTTGGGTCGTGTAGTTTTTTTGACTCGCATTATAGTGTATGCTTAAAGGGAAAAAAAACTACAAAATGGCAGCGCCGCGCCAGTACTGGATTTTTTTTCTTTCTATTTTATTTTATTTTTTGGCATCGATCCTAGTTTTTTTTTAGTTATTATCGGTTTGCTCCCGCTCCAGTCTGCTCCCGTTAATGTTTAATCCTGTACCGTCCCAATCACGTGATCGTTACTAATACTGACTCCCATCCCACAGGAATCCCACGGGAATCCCCTGATCCATTGGATTCCCGAAAAAATGTCAGTCTCTAATTCATTGCACTTTATTACAGTCCAAAAGTTGAAAGGATCCTTTTATGTTTTAAGGAGAAGGAGAAAATGTAAACGGTTGCCACAATATTTGCTAATTTATTTTCAACAGTTTTTTTTCCAGCATGGACTGTCTGTATAAATCTTTTAGAGATGAGGAGTGCATCAATTTTGCATAAGAAACTTCCTTTGGAACATGGCTTCAGGGCTTCTCTGCATACTCTTGGTGCTGTCCATATATTTATATATGAACAATTAATAATTAACAGTAATAACATCTCAAAAAATGTTTCTGTTTGCAACTCATTCCGACTCTTCTGTTTTTTTTTGTTTTTGTTTATTTTTTTGCCACATACAGGACTTCTTGGGACAGGCTTTCTGTACGTTGGGTGAAATTGTTGGCTCCCTGGGAAGCCGCTTGGAAAAGCCATTGATGTAAGTAAAACATCAAATGTGTGGAGAAATACAAACATATCTGCTGTAAACAAAAAGGAAGTTCTTGAAGTATTTTAAATAATAGCTCCAGTGGGGCCTAATGGTATGTATTCTGTTCATCGTAGGTTCACTTCAACTATGAAAGACAAAATGATAAAAAACAAAAAAACAACAGGAAATCACATTTTTAAATAATTTATTTGTTAATTTGGCTGGAAAATAAGTTTTTTTTTTTTCACCCACAAACAACCCTGTAATTTTGTTACTTCTTCATGTAGGAAGCATTGTACAGTAGAAGCCATTCAAAATTTGCCAAGTTTCCTTGATGGACACTTGGCTGGTCCTTGGCTAGTCCCTGGCTTGTCCTTGGCTGGTCCTTGGCTGATCATTGGCTGGTCCTTGGCTGGTCCTTGTGGAATGTTTGGCTTTGTTTGAACTCATCAAATTAGTTTCCCCATTAACATTTTTATTATGGTTATAAGAGCAAAATGGACAACGAGATGAAGAGATGGAAGACATGGTCTGGAGATGTACACTAAACGTGTGAGTGTGTATTAAAAGTGGTGTTGCACAGATACTGTTACCAGTATCAGGCGAGGCCCCAATCCAGCACTAAAATGGTGGTATCGGTATCGGTGAGTACCAACAAATAGGGCACCAATACCATTTTGAGAGCCAAAAGTTTATTAAAATATTATCACCCATTCAAGGTAGGCAATAAAAAGTTCTACTGGATTCACTTAATATTAGTCTTTTTTTCTGCTTCACAAAGGTAGGCAGCAGCTTGACAAAGCCATGATGGCAATTATTTTACATCCAAGTAGTATGCAAAAACCCTTATGAAGAGGACTAAAGCAAGGCACGTGACGTCGCCCGGTACGGCGGAGCTGGGACCCCACCCTGGAGCCAGGCCTGGGGTTGGGGTTCGTCGGCGAGCACCTGCTGGTCGGGTTCTTCCACGCGGGACCCGGCCGGGCCCAGCCCGAAGGAGCGACGCGAGGCCATCGCCCAGTGGGCCCACCACCTGCAGGAGGAACCATGAGGGACCGGTGCATAGAGTATGGGTGGTAGCCAGCAGTGGCGGCCGGCCCATAGGGGGCGCTGGGGCACCGCCCTCCCTGATAAGAAGAGAGAAACGTAAAATATATTTTTAGAAAATAACTCATAAATGTCAGTTTTACTCTCTAGACTGTGTACCTATAAGCAAAACAAATTATATAAACTACATTTCCCTATCTACTGTCATTAATTTGTGGATTTCCACAGACAGACTCCTACCGTCTCTGTTCTGGGGGCGCTGATCAGACAGCCCCACATTTGCAGAGAATCTGTCAATCATGTACTATTGCTAGGTGAATTTAATGGCCAATCAGCGTCTCGGAACTTTATGGTCTTGGGGCGCTGAAAATACTGCGCTTTAACAGGCTTCTGAACCCAAGCGCAGGTGCAGACAATTAGAGGGAAGATGGCGAATGTAACGAACGAGAAGCAGCTTCCACCAAATTCGGTGAGATCCTTATTTATCTACCCGTTTGCCAGAAGAACATCCCTGTTGTAGGATATGAACATTTCATGTCATGGTTATTGTGACTATGACAAATCCACTTCGTCGCTTAAAACAACCTCTCTAACTTTGCGCGCCACAAACACATTCCTGTTATACTGTGTTTGTGAGGACCAATACACTCGCGCTGAGCCCAGTAGCTCCATGAACTTAAAACACACAAGCTGTTCCTGGTTACCTGCTGGCGTATTGAGGGTGCACACTTAATATTTCAGTGGGGTTAGCCGTGTGTGTGTGGGTATGTGGGGGGTGTGGGTGTGTACGTGTTTATGCTAAGGGGACTTGTCATCTTCAGTCTGGCTGCGTCTTTGCTGGGTTCAAACCCAGTTTGGTGTAATTGAATAAGTCAATGAATCTGTGTAAAAGAATTAAGTTGTAAAACTTATTTGTTTTTGTACATCAATTGTTTGTGGAGGTAATATATGGACAAAACTGATTAATGAGAAGAAATCAGAAATAAGAGAGCCTGAGGTGAGGGGCTTAAACTATTTAATGAGGGCTGTGGGAAGAAAAGAGGCCATTTTTGTTTTCTGTTTCTTTGTTACATTGCTGGTAACTGGAGGGAGGCTGAGGCCCAGAGTATCTTTTACATGTTTAGTTTCTTTTGCACCCTGTTTTGAGTTTTTGAGCACAATAAATCACCAACACCGGTAACCCGACTGAGCCTGGATTCTTGGAGGCCAAAGAACCCCGTCACAGTGACCAAAATCATCACTGTTACTGTTATTATATAGTAAATTAAATCATTACTGTTAAATTGTATGTATTGTCCAATTGTTTAATTGAATTCTTATTCCGGTTTAGTTGGGAGACATACACTAGGCTATATCAGCCCCACCAAAAATATTTTTCACCAGCCGCCACTGGTAGCCAGAGGCGGAGACCTCGGCAAACTGATCCGCGAGCTCTTAAACTGGCTCTGGGGACGTGGAATGTCACCTCACTGGCGGGGAAGGAGCCCAAGCTTGTGCGGGAGGTGGAGCAATACCGGCTACAAATAGTTGGGCTCGCCTCTACGCACAGCCAGGGCTCTGGAACCCAGCTCCTAGAGAAAGTCTGGACTCTCTTCTACTCTAGAGTGACCCGCGGAGGGCGGGGGTGGGGCTGCTTGTGAACCCGAGTGGTGTCTCATTATTGGACTTCTGTGCAAGTCATGGATTGTCTATAATGAACACCATGTTCAGGCATTAGGATGTCCATCGGTGCACCTGGCACCAGGACACCCTAGGCCGAAGGTCGATGATCGACTTTGTACTCGTATCTTCTAATCTTCGGCCGCATGTCTTGGACACTCAGGTGAAGAGAGGGGCGGAGCTTTCCACCGACCACCACCTGGTGGTGAGCTGGATACGCTGGAAGAGGAGGAAGGCTGAAAGATTTGGCAGGCCCAAATGTGTAGTGAGGGTCTGCTGGGAATGTCTGGTGGAACCCTTGGTCAGGGACGTGTTCAAATTCCACCCCCGGGAGAGCTTCTCTCAGGTTCCGAGGGAGGTTGGAGACATGGAGTCCGAATTGGCTGTGTTCTCTGCCTCTATTATTGATGTGGCTGCCCGTAGCTGTGGCCGTAAGGTTTGCGGTGCCTGTCGTGGTGGCAATCCCCGTACCCGGTGGTGGACACCGATAGTAAGGGATGTCAAGCTGAAGAAGGAGTCCTATCAAGCTTCGCTGGCTTGTGGGACTCCGGAAGCAGTAAGCAGGTACCGTGAGGCCAAGCGTGTGGTGGCCCGGGCGGTTGGCCTCAAAGCGATTCTGGCAAACCGTCCGGCGCCTCCGAAGGGGAAAGCAGTGCTTCGTTAACACTGTTTTCAGTGGGAGTGAGGAGCTGCTGACCTTGAAGGAGGATATTGTCGGGCGGTGGAAGGAATACTTTGAGGATCTCCTCAACCCAACAGACGCGCCTTCCGTGGGGGAAGAAGAGACAGGGTGCTTGGGGCTGGATTCGTTGATCACCCAGGCTGAAGTCACTGAGGTAGTCAAAAAACTCCACTGTGGCAAGGCTTTGGGCCCTGGATGTTGTCGGGCTGTCATGGTTGACACGTGTTTTCAACATCGCGTGGAGGTCGGGGACAGTTCCCCTGGATTGGCAGACTGGGGTGGTGGTTCCCCTCTATAAGAAGGGGGATCGGAGGGTGTGTTCCAACTATCGGGGAATCACACTTCTCAGCGTCCCCGGATAGGCCTATGCCAGGGTGCTGAAGAGGAGAGTCCGGCTGATTGTCGAACCTCGGCTGCAGGAGGAGCAGTGTGGTTTTCGTCCTGGCTGTGGATCAGTGGACCAGCTCTACACCCTCTGCAGGGTGCCTGAGGGTTCTTGGGAGTTTGCCCAACCAGTCCACATGTGTTTTGTGGACTTGGAGAAGGCATTGGACCATGTCCCTCGTGCTGCCCTGTGGGGGGTGCTCAGTGTAGAGCCAGTTCTCCTCCACATCGAGAGGAGTCAGTTGAGATGGCTCGGACATCTTCTTCGGATGCCCCCTGGACGCCTCCCTCAGGAGGTGTTCCAGGCACGTCCCACTGGGAGGAGGCCCAGGGGACGACCCAGGACACGCTGGAGAGAATATGTCTCTTGGCTGGCCTTGGAGCGCCTAGGGCTTCCCCCAACAGAGCTGGAGGAGGTGTCTGTGGAGAGGGAAGTCTGGGAGTCTCTGCTTACTCTGCTGCCCCCGCGACCCATTTCCAGATAAAGCGGGAGACGACGAGTATGAGTACGAGTACGAGTAGTATGCAGTTCTTTATATCTACACACACATCAATTTCAAACAGATGGTGTCGTCATTGGCCAATACTGCACAGCCAGGTATTGGTATTGGAGCCAAAAAACTTCAATAGCAGAATGTTGATGGCCGCTAAGAATTTAGATCATAGGTTGTACCTCTTGCCTCCATCAGTAGTTTTCATTGACTGCTTTTACTAGACATGCTTTTCAAAACTTTTTTGGATCACATAATTATATTTTTACAGATGTAAAAAATGTGACATGCTTGACAACCTTTGTACCTTGATCAACATATATAGCACGGTTAAATAATAGGAAAACTGATATTAGATTACTAGGCCATATGCCTTGTTGGTAGTGATGAGAACAACAGTTCTTTTGAGTGAACAGAATCACTAGAATCAGCATTTTGAAAGGATAAATTCACTCAATCAGATATACATCTTGGTCATCCTCGATTTTATTTAGTTAAAAAATCTCTAATGACGTTTTCCTGCCCCAAAATAGTAAGCGTACCAAAATATAATGGTTTAAATTTGACAAAGTATTTCCTGAGAAAATAAAGGCCTTAAAATCCTTTATGTTTTACTCTACCTTATTTTCACGACCATAAGGCGCACCGTACTAAAAGGCGCAGTCTCAGTTATGTGTGCCATTTCTGTATTTAACACACACATAAGGCACAGCGGACTTTTTTATATACAGGTACATGTCCTCTAC